GCTCGCGCCCCCGGCCCGCGCGCCCGCGTGGTCACGCCCACCACGTGGGCTCGCGCCCGCGTCCCCGCGACCCCGCGCGCCCACGCCTACGACCCCGCGACCCCGCGCCCGCGCGCCCGCGCGCACTCGCGCCCCCGGCCCGCGCGCCCGCGTGAACACGCCCCCCCCGCGCGGGCTCGCACCCGCGTCCCCGTGCGCCCTCATCATCCTCAGCAGCGCCCTAGCCAACTGTGCTGTGCCCTCCGCGACGGGCTGCCCCGCTGGCTGCAGCTGTGACCCCTGCGACCGGCGGCCCTCGCATCGACACACCACACACACCACACGCGAGATATTGACTCGACTAAAATAATTACAAGTTACCGTACCTGTGAATCGTTCGTACTCGCCGCAGTCACGGCAGCGAACGAAGCCACTGTCTAATTCTGCAATATCATTGGAGACGACCGTCTGGAATCGCTTCCAGCTTTCAGACGTCTTCGATCTATCCGGATCCTTCAGCTTCAGTTCCCCGTCTAGGACCTTCTTCTTGATGGCTGCCCTTTCACTCTCTCGATCGGCATTGGTTTTCCCCCCTTTTTTACCGCTACCTCCTGCCATCTTTTCACTGCTCTACTAAACTATCCCCAAATTTAAATAAAGGCAACGATTGAGATTGACGTCTACTGCGCTTCCAGATGACAGGACAGAACAGGTGTACGGAACGGATTGAATGATGAGATGACCGCATCAGCTATTGTCTATCTGTGTGTGTGTTGATGTTGCCCTGTCAACAGCTGAGAGGGCGAGGGGAAGGGAGAGTGCGCGGGGAAGGGCCGCCCGACCCCCCGCCTCTCCCCTGGCCCTCGGCGAGTTGGCCCGCCTGGGCTCGGCTCCTCGGCTCGGCTTGCGCAGCTCGCCGCCCAGCGGGCGAGGCAGAGCCGAGCGGGCCCCGGCGTGCAAACGGGTCCCGTTTGTTCGGCTACACTCGTCAAGAATCGGCACATCGCCATGGCGACTTCGGCTAACACGTCTCCTCTCTCTCGCACACCGACTGCGCACGGCGCGCGCTCAGGAGTGGGACCCGTTCGGGCGCCGATTCCGGCCTCTGCCATCAGGCCAGCAAACGACAAGCGAACAAGAAAAGTAAACCCGATCTTTGTATCCGGACCCGGTGTCGCTCCTATCATTGTTGCTTGCCTGAATGTACGGAACGGACATTGACTTGCGCCATCTTGGTGTTAACAGTTTACCAGTTTCTACCAGATACCAGGCAGATTTCTGCCCACTTCTGAACAAAATGGGTGAGTTAAACGATTATTGGTCTTACACGCCTCTCTATCTACTTTACTCCGTTTTTATGGTTTTTATCGAAGTACCGGCATTGTCCAAATGTACTTGCTAAAAGAAGTTGTGCTCGTGATATGACTTCTGTATATTGAAAACGTTATGAACTAGTATCAATTAGAATCATTCTTTCTTAACACTAGAACCGCTGACATTTTCGTATACCTAGAACCGCGGGAGGGGTCATTTTTACTCCTGCCGCATTTTGCGCGTAAATGTGAAAGTTTTCGAGTAATTATCACTGCGGATGGTCTTGGAAACAAGTATGTGTACGTTAAATGCTTTTTGCTCTAATTATTCTGTATGCTCTTAGGTGTTATTTATCTAGACAAAACAGCATTTTCGACGCGAAACGCGGCAGGGGTCATTTTGACCCCTGCCGCGGTTTTAGGTATATCTTTTCACAACTTCCACAAAAATAGTCGTACAGCTTCGAGACTTTGTGTCGATACATTTGTTATCATTTTACACGATGTCAAAAATATTCAACCCGACGAGAAAAAAATTAAATACAGAAATTAATAATTGAAAATCGAAAAGGGTCAAAATGACCCCTGCCGCGGTTCTAGTGTTAAAGTTAGTATGAACATTTATCTGTCGTACTCGTTGGACGCGGACGCAAGTAACGTGTTCACCTAACCTCACCGTCCGGGTGGCTGTGATGCTGCTGCATCCAGGCGCTCATCAAAACTTATGTTTTGTCTTCTGAATCATTATCATTATTTCCTAACATTTCCTTGCCTCTAAAGGAGTTTCTGATTTAAACGCGTGTTTTCTCGTACTGTCGGTGGGTAAAAACTTTCACATAACAAACTGACTTCTATGAAACTTTTCTTTTTGTCATTCCCTGCACACAACACTTGAATTTGCTACGAGCATGATTTTATTTGGAGTGTTTTTCTCACTTATGCGCCAGATACCGGAAACCCCTCTGATGAACAATGGAGGGCATTATTCGATTTCATTAAAGATGATGATGAGATGAAGAATGGACTTAGTAATCATCCTACTGGGAAAGCACGCATGCTCAAGAAATGGTCAGCTTTGGCCATCGTAGTGAATTCTGTGGAAGGGGCCACAGCCATTAAAGACGGGAAACAGTGGAAAGCTGTAAGATATGATTTCAACAAGTTAAAATGCTGTTTTAATTATTTTTTTGTTGTCTTTATCTGGGAGATTATGACTTATTTTCTTTCCAGGCTTGGAATGGTATGAAAAGTCGAGCCAGGGCGGCGTACCGCAAAGTAGTTAAACCGATCGTCCTCTCTAGCCTACCTATCCCACCACTTGACGAAGTGAAGATGACTAATGTGAACTACCGGAAAGTGTTAGATTTGATCGGAGTTCCTGAGGTACGTAATAGTTGTGCCTGTTATGTGTTCATGTAGCACAACAATGTTTCACCTATCAAACAAATTGTCATCTCAATTGCAGATTGATAATAATGGGGGAGATGTGGCAGAGCAACTTAATGCTGTTAATGCCCCCAACACCGATAACCCTGCTAACAATGATGATGTAGATGTACCAGCAGGTGCAGCTGGTTTAATGAAACTCAGGTATGATGAAAAGCATCAGTTATCTCTTGGAAGTGTTCCTCTCTCGACATGTTACGTAATTTCTGTTTGTTATTCTGCAGGCACTTGAATCTGGAGGAACGTTTGAACAGGACTTTTTGACAGACTTGTTTCAATCAAGCACGAAGGTGATGTATTGCTAGTAATGAGTCAGCGTTTAGAGAAGTAAGGAAATCAGGACTGGAACCAGTACTGAAATCAAAACATAATACAGTAAAACTGAACTTTGAAAGTAACAGACTAGGTCCTGGAAGTCATTTGCAGTGTCCAACAACTGAAATTGTAGTAATATTTTGCTACTGGTTCTATTCATGATTTCCTTCACTTTTTTTCTCCAAATGCGCACTGTTGGAACAGTCTATTTCAAATGATTGTTTCCTTAATTTTTGTCGTAAACTGTGTTTTGTTTCACTCCTTAGATGTATGAAGGTCCTCCTATAATCGATCTCACCGCTATAAGTGAGGACAATTGGGGCGAAGCCCTTGGAGTGAAGGAATTGGTGGTTGATGCAGAGACTCTGCTGTCAGATGTGAGCATAATAGTAAGAGTTGTTTTGCTCGCGTGCAGCACTTTTGTTTGTTTTTAATTCTACATTAATTTTACAGAGCCCTGTCTATGTGAAGAAAGAGCAGCTGTTTCATACTCCTCCCAACAAGGGATCCGGGTTTACACCTGCCGCAAAGAAAGTCAACCAGTTCGAAAAGGAGTCCCCACCAGTCATTGACCTCTCTGATGTAAGTTGTTTTGATTTGTGTGCTTACTTGGCACCAATTCAGTATGCAGTTGAAACTTTGTTCATACGTCTGTATTTTTCTTTGCAGACTCCTGTTGGTGCTCCTGCTCCTCTGTGCAAGAGGCGGCTGGACAGGTCCGACGAGGACAATGTCAGAGGAGGTAACAAATATTTAACTTTTTTGGTGACTTTCTTACTACAATAGTATTTGTGTGAATATACTTGTATTCTTACTTTTTCTTGTTTTCAGATCGGGGCCAGGATTTAGTCCTTTTGCATGCAGCAATTAAGGAGAACACTGATGTTTTGATGGAGGTGCTCCGAACCCTGCAACGTCTTTAGGAAAGATCTAGCTCTACTTTCTTCAATTGGCTTTGACCCCTTGCTATCCATTTTGAACTGATGTTTAATAGGCTCATTTATTTTTTATCTAAATGTTTATTTTGTAAAGCTTATATTTTTAAATTGTGACCTATTTTAAGTTTGCTTTTTTGGATTTGAAGTCAATGACAAGTCAATTTTGCTGGACTTGTTTTTTTTGGTAATGGTCCACCACTTTTTATCAACCATTAAAGTGGATTTATAATCAGAAAAATTTGTCTCCTTTCATTCATGATCATGATGTATCTATTTAACACTGGGACTACTGGTTTTTGCTTGATGGCAATGATCTTACAAGAAAAGATAAAGGACAATTGATGAATTCTTTTCTAAAATTTTTGTGGACACAAAATTAGGAAGCCGTATTGGTTTCACCCCAAAAGACATGTTCTTAGTTAGACCTTATCAAACAAGAGGAATTCTTTCAATTCGTTAGCCTTGATACAATGTGTTCCAGATTATAACTACTTTGGAAATCGGCCTCTGGATGTGGTCATGGAGCACCGAAGAAGATTGAATCTTCAACTTCATGAGCGCTTTGCCATAAGGGATAGGAACAACCCTCTTGATATGACAGTTCCGGAGTTTGTCAAACTGTACCGGATGCCCCAACACCATGTTGTAGCACTCCCTAATTACTTAAGGGATTATGTTCCTCAACACAGAAACCCACATCAGATTTCTCTACTAAGGGAACTCATCTTAGTGTTAGTCCCCGATTTTGTTCCGCCTTGGAGGTTTTGTAAAGTGACCGTATTCGAAACGATTGGCACTGAAAATTCGTGCCCAATTTCATATTCGTATTTATAGGGGACATCCATTTTCTCCAGAAATGACTAAAAAAAGCATTTTTTCTGAAAAAACCAAAAATGACCGAGAGTTTGTATTTGTATTTGGCCTTAAATCGACTTTTTAAAACTGAATACATAAGCTGTGGATAATTTTTGAATTTTTCAGAAAAAATGCTTTTTTTAGTCATTTTTTGGAGAAAGTGGATTTCCCCTATAAAATTAAATATGAAATTGGGCACGAATTTTCATTGCCAATCGTTTTGTATACGTTCACCCTACAAAACCCCCAAGGCGGAACAAAATCGGGGACTAACACTTAGATGAGTTCCCTGTAAGGAAGGTTTGTAAATAGATCACTCTCTTGTTGCTTTAATTTTAATTAAATATCCTGATGCTGTTAAATTTTAACTTCTAAACAGGTCCTCATGACACTCTCTCTGTATGCATGTGGATCATACCAGAGAATTTTAGGGCGCTCAATCGATGTCTCTGTGTGTCAGGCAACTGTGAGCAGGTGTATCAAGGAAATCACCCTTGCACTAAATCATCCTGATGTCCTTACTCGCTGTATAAAATTTCCTGTTACTCCTGAGGAAAGAGCAGTAGTAATACGCAGGTTGGTATTTCCCCTCAGATAATAAAGAGTTTCCTGGTGCTTGAACGGAGGTGCTGAATATTTAATTTTTGTGACTCCAGAAATGAGCAGTTGGGCATGCCTCGGGTTCTTGGAGTAATTGACGGAACAATGATAAGGCTTTCCTATCTTAAAAGGGATCAGGAGAGACAGGCATTTTACAGCAGAAAAGGATTCCTAGCACTCAACACTCAAATAGTGAGAATACTTTGCCTTGCCCCTTGCCCTGCTTAGTCTTATGTTGTATATATTAATGGTGTCTTATGGTTATTACATAAAAAAAATAGTGCCACAAAAGAAATTAGTGATACTACAATTCTAATGCATTATTATTAAATTTGACAATTTACAAACATTTGCATTTATATCTCTTGCAATATAAAGTTCAGAGAAATGTTCAGATCAATTAATAGGAAACATGTTTATTTTAATTCTTTAGTCTACCTGTGTTTTCAAAACTATAATTTTATTTAACACTCTGTGCCAAAGTAGTTCTTATATATTTCAGTAGTGATACTTTTTTTAAACTTGAATGGCCTAAGACAGGTAGCGGATAATGAAACTGCTCACTTTCAAATTTGATTGTTAAAAAAAAAACTCTCCTTCAATACTAGCAAATAAGCCTTTAGTTTCTTTCAGCAACAGTGACTTTATGTCGTGTTTGCAGATTTGTTATGCAGCTCTCAATATCATAAATGTTGATGCTAGATTGCCTGGGTCTGTGACTGACAACTTGATTTGGCAGGCATCACCTGCGCGACAAGTAGTGGAACAAGCTTACTGGAATGATAGGTGCTGGTTGCTGGGTAAGTTCATTACCCAATTCATACCTTTCTCAAGATAATTTTCTATCATCAGGTCGCTATAACCTTTGCTTGTATGTTAATTTCCTGTCTAGGTGATAATGGTTATTTCACCGCTCCATGGCTCCATGTACCAGTCATAAATGCATCACCTGGAACACCAGAATTTATTTACACCCAGGTTCACTGCCGTGCCAGAAATGTTGTTGAGAGGTGTATCGGTGTCCTTAAGAGTAGGTGGAGGTTGCTTTGTTCTGATCGTTGTATAAATTACAAAGATGCAGCATATGCAGGCCAAATGATAAATGCCTGCTGCGTTTTGCACAACTTTTGTAATGGGAACAGGGTTGATCCACCCGCTCCTTTAATAGAAAATAATGTTGATCATGGGGCTGAAGTAGAACCACCACCTGAAATGCCCTTCGATGTTTATCGGCTAGGTCAGCAAGAACAGCAATTTTAAATAAATTTTGCCAATCAAAGACATGCTCATAACAATATTGTTAATGCTTTGTATGAAGTGTGTTGTGTAGAAAATGGTTGCCCAATTTGTGAAAACATGTAAATTTGATTTTATCCTGTTAAATGTAACTCATGTGTGTTAAAGTAATCTGTAACAAGATATGTAAACGTTGCATGCTTTGCATGCTAATTCCACCAAAGTTTGATGTCAATATAAATGAAAAGTTTTTCATTATCTACTTTTATTCATACCTGAAAATGGCAATAATACACAGATCTAAACAGAAGATAATCTACCTGAAAATGGCAACTTAGAACTTGTGGCATACTTGAAAGAATTAAATCAGAATATAAGTGACAAACAAAAGAGCTGCAATAATACACATCTAAACACAAGATAATCTACCTCGAAATGGCAACTTGGAACTTGTGGCATACTTGAAAGAATAAATATAAGTGACAAACAAAATAAACGAAGAGCCACGCAACAATACACAGATCTAAACACAAGATAATCTACCTGAAAATGGCAACTAATTGAACTTGTAGCATACTTGAAAGAACTTAAATGACAAACAAAATAAACAAAGAGCCACAAGCATTGAAAGAATTACTCTTGTTAGATAATTAACAAAAAAACAAGTCAAGCTAAATTGACTTGTCAATGACTTCAAATCCACAGAAGTAAACTTAAAATAGGTCACAATTTAAAAATATAGCCTTACAAATAAACATTAAGATAAAAAATCAATGAGCCTATTAAACATTGTCAGTTCTAAATGGATAGGAAAGGGTCAAAGCCAAAATTGAAGGGAGTAGAGCTAGATCTTTCCTAAAGACGTTTCAGGGCTTGCATAGATCTAAATACGAGATAATCTACTCCAGAAGAAGTGCTGATTGCATAACTTTGAGAAGCACTTCCAAATTGAGTTTGAGGGTGCGACGCAGTTCTGAAGAAATTTATGTTCTGAAGATTTCACCTGAAAAGCGAAAGATGTATAAAAATACAGTCTCACAAATAACAATGAGTTTCAGATTTAAACCTTACACATTACCTTTTTGGACATGATAAGCGACTGAGTCAGGAGTCTGCAAAGAAAAAAATACAGATGTTTGAACAGTCTTAACTGCATACTGGCAGGTACCAAGGCTAATATAAAGTGTACATAGTAGTTTGTCACTTTCATCAATTCAATTTTTTAGCTTTAAAGTTTGCACGCAAGATTCCTGGGGTTAAAATAAACTAAGAAAGCTCCACTAAGATTTCTTAGAAGCATTCACTGGAAAAACTAATATGACTAGCCCTTTTTTTGTAGTTTTTCCAGTGTAGTCAAAAGGGTTATAGATTGACACAGGGGTCTAAAACATTTTTTTTGATTAACACCCTGTCTTTTTTTTCCCCTCAATAACGTACCATGAATATTTTTCTTGTAAAATGCTGTTAATTTGAGGTCAATATCAACTTTTATCCTAAATTATGCAGAAGACCCACTCAAACACTCTTTAACCCCCTTAACAAGATCATCACAACAAAAACTTGAGGGAAGCCAACTTACATCTGAATGGTTGATGACTGTTGGTGAGGAATCCTTTTCAAACCAAACAACTTGAAGCTTCTCCACTGTCTTCACATTGACAGGAATCTGTAAAATTATTGTATATTTAAAAACTAACAAAAGGTTGAAGGCAGGCACAACTCCTTTTACTACTATTACACTCACATCTAGAGACACTGCACCAACCTCTTCCTCATCCAATGCATTGCCATGAATCTGCAAATGAAACTGTACAGTAGACGTATTGTAACAACACAAAATACATGGAAGTAGCACAAAATTATACCCCGGCTTCTCCCACTCCAACCTCGAATTGCAAATGTAGATTATTATTATTCGGAATGTTACCCTGAATGAATTGATTGAGGAGCAAGTCTGCATCAGGAACTATGGGGGGTGCAACCTGTTGCTGCCTCTCTAGTTGAGGTGCAATCTGTTGCTGTTGCTGCCTCTCTAGTTGAGGTGCAACCTGTTGCTGTTGCTGCCTCTCTAGTTGAATCTGAAAAGGTATACAGAGATTACTTATTTACGATGCAAAATGTTGTGGGAAGGAAAGAACTTTCACATTTAAAAGGGAGCCTGACCTTTAACGGTCAAGGGCATCTGCTGCCCACAGCAGCAGTTATTCCTGTTAAACCGAGGACCCTTTTGTATAGCTTGCTGATTGCCAGACCCGCTACATCCACATCTGGGCCCCCACCTGTACCATTCCTGTATGCCGACATGTTTCGTAGACTGGTTCGTGCCCTGCTTCTTAAACCAACCCAGGCCTGAAAGACAACCATAGAAATAATAATTCTCATGATAATAATAACAAAGGCACATTCAGTAAAGAAGAGAATTCTTACCAATCTCCATTGTTCTCCATCTTTTGTCACTGTGGCACCAGGCACACTGTTCACAATGGCAGCAATATCCTCCCACTTCTGGTGGGTTCGTTGCACGCCTCCAGGGGCAAGAAACTGCCCATGCAAAATTTCCTTGTCCATGGCAATTAGGTCGATTAGAGTATTCCACTGGTCATCAGAGGGGCGAGCTAAAATAACAAACCAAATATTATAATACATTTATACTGGAAAACAAATTTAATTCAAGAATACCAGCACAGGACAACGAGCATGGTGTAATTGTCAGAGTGAGGCCACCGACAGAAATGTGGAGAAAAGACCAAAGACAATCTGTTTTCCAACGTCAATAACAGAGCAGACAATCACAAAGCCCATATGGTGAGGTTATGTTACTGTTTTTGAGTCCTTACAGACATAAAGCCAACAGGAGATAAATCGGCTAACTTAAGATCAGTAATATTTTGACTTACCCATATTGAGCACAGAAATGAAAGTTGGTCGAATTGGGTCGAATGGTCGAGAAAGAATGGAGGTCGAGACTTAGCTCCAGAAGTACCACGAATGTACAGACTTTCGCTTTCCGCCAAGTCGCCACGGTCCGTCCGCTCAAACTTCTTGCTTGCTGCTGCTAGCACACTCTGCTGGCAAAAGCCACAAGCACAAGCTGAGCCGAAGGCCGGCAGCCGGCCGAGCTAGGTAGCCCGACCAGTACATGACCCGTCCGCTGCGGCCTGACCCGCGCGAGGCCTCCACCACCCCCGCGCCCGAGACAGAGCGCTCCTCGGAATAAGTCGGCAGCTTAGGTTATGGTTTTCTATGAGAGGTTTAATGAAACCTCATAATACTACATTACTCCCTCTTTAAACAGCCCCCCTCTTTACGCGCACCCCCTTGCCATGACACTTTACAAATTTCTAAAGCTAATAAACTGTTGATAATCTGAAACTTCCACCTTGTACTGAACCTACGGGTTATTCAACCGTACTAGTCCATACTTAGTGTGCAAACAAAAAGAAAGTTTGACTTCAACTCCTCTCTGACATTATCAGAGTAGCCTTGACTTATGTTCAGACCATTACACTTGGAATTGGCGGTAAAAGCGGTTCCTGTTCACAGAGTCAGACTCGGGAGATCCGTCTGATTATATTTTGATTAAATCTTGTTGAGATCGTTGTTTCCTTGAAGACTCCTGGGCATCTCTGGAGGATTGTGATGATTCCGTGCTCCAAAAGGAGTGGTGATTCGCTGAAACAAATGTTTTCCTGTGCAGTATTTGAGTTGAACTTCATACTGAAGTTGTACACTTTGGGATTCAACCTGTCTGGGTGACTCCTAACATAACTATTCAACTATCTGACACCAGTGTCTAACCAACCTATCTTATCACTTTTAACCTCTGAGTCTTTTAAAATACTTAGCTTCACGTTATCTGGAACTGGTCTTGAGTCCTTGTTGAGTGTCCTTGGCTGCTGTCACTTGATGTTTCTGCTGGAATGGTCGAGTCTTGCTGCTCTTGGATTGGCCCTGGGGTAACCATTAGCAACCGTTTGCTAAATAGGTCTATCCTGGGTGCTAGTCACTCACTTCGATCACACCGGTCTGCGGTGTGGTGCGGTGGTGAAGCAGGCAGCAATGTAGCTTCTCACCCCGGGGACTCGGGTTCGACTCCTGACTTGGCTGTTGCGTTCTTGGGCTTTGCAGCCTTCTTAGGCTTCCTATGGCTTGTTCTCCATATTCAGATCTGTGGAGTTTGTGGAGTTTATGAAAGGAATTGAAAGTGTAGTTTACGACTCGGGCTTCTTGAGCTTGTCCTTGCACTCCCATGTGAGCCTTCTGTGAGTGCCTTGATGTTCATCATGTCTGCATCGTTGGATAGGTAACAAATCCTCACAAAACTGCATTCACACTTGAAGAATGAAGAACTTCAGACTGCACAAACAATACTTGCACTCCACAGCAACACACTAGCGGGGGCCCCGCACCACCCTTTTGTTGTTTTTTAGCCCGCCCTTCTGCTTTTAAAAAAGCATTAAAGCGGGCTTATGCAACCGCTCTCGTGTCTGTCTGTCCGTCCGTCCGTCCGTCCGTCGTCCGTGTAAGAGGAAGGAGATGAGCTAGAGGTCTACAAATTTCAGGGTATCTTAGGGGTCACTTCTGGACAACGAAACGCTTGGTGCAAATCCTGGCAACCACCCCTAAGGGGGTGAAAGGGGGTAACAAAGAAATAGGGGTTGGTCCAAAAAGTAGAAAATCAAATATTTTTTTATGGTCTCCTTAGGGGTAACTCGTGAAAGTAGAGCCCTTTGGGCGAAAATTTTGTCCGTTTAACTCTATCTTGCACCGTTTGGGCGCTAGAGTGCTTTTCCCGACGAAAATACGGCGAAAATGACCACGTTGCACATAAAGACGTACAAGGAGGCGTCCAATCGAAAAATGTCCGAGAAAGTACCCCCCCCTAAAATAACACATTCTGAATCGGCAATAACCCTCGAATTTGCCGTATCTTTCACTGTTTCGGCCACAGAGGTGCGATACATTGAAAACAATGGCAAAAAGACAAGTTATAAGACTCTTTGACAAACAATGTACAATCTAAAAACTGCGCGGGTTCTTTTTTTTTTTTTCTAAGCAAAGCAGAAGGGTGGGGTGTAGTCACGGTGTTGCCCCGTTACAGTCTTTTGTCATTTCCAAGGAGGAAATCTCTAGGGCCGCAGGCCCCCCGCCGAACGCTTTAGTTTACTCAAATATGCAAAGTAATTTACCGGTCACATTATTTATTTGATTATGCACTTCAGTAAATCGCGAGACTGAAATGGTCGGGCCGAAGGCCCGACCATCGCCGCCGGCAGGCCAAGCAGGCCCGGCCCCTGCCGAACGGAGTTGCCGGCGCAGCGAAGTGGAGCTGGCAACTCCGTTTGGCGGAAGGGCGGGCCTGCTTGTTTCTTCTTCTGCACTTGCATCGGATCCTTTTGACCGGCGTCTGCTACAAGTTGCTGTTGTTTGTTTACTTGTTGATGTGTGCTGCTGTCCTGTTCCCGCGCTCACGTCTTTGTACTCTTCTGTCACCATGGCTCTTGCCCCTGTCATCAACATTCCTCCGGGTCATGTCGCGGTTGCGGGTCTTGCCTATGTAGTTCGGTTTTCGACTCATTAGACCTTCCCTAACATCATATCAAAAATCCCCGAAAATCCCTGCATTGGCATTTTTGCGGGACACTGTAAAACATTTTGCTAATTTTAGGTAATTTAGTGAAAATTGAAATTACGTTAGAAATCGTTTGAAGACATTTTAAATGGCAGGTAATGCTTTCTTATACCACTGGTAGGTCAAAAAATAAGTATATTGGAATTCATCATGCAATAGGACCTATATTTTCGAAAAAAAACGGAAAATTTCGTCAAATTTTTACCAAAAGCAGCAAAAGAGAGGAATTTTTGTGAAAGTCTCAAGAAGATGTGTAATGGTGAGAGGTGGTGAGTGGTAGGGGTGGTGAGTGGTAGAGGTGGTGTGTGTGTGTGTGTGTGTGTGTGTGTGTGTGCGTGCGCGCGCGTGTGTGAGTACGCGCGCGTGCGTGTGTGAGTACGCGCGCGCGCTGAACGGTAAGGTGAGGGTTTTGCGCTATTGCTGGCCATCACACAACAAAATTTCTGTCCTTGCCAGGTTAAATGTATTATAGCAGTATAAACTATGTTTTATAAAATACAAATAAAATATATAAATACATAAATGTTAAAAATTGGAAAAATTTAACACACACTTTACAAGCTGACTAGTTGGGGTACCTGAAATGAATGCCACTATTTTAAGTAAGTTCCAGGTGATATAAAATTCATTTTAAACTGTCCATGTGAACAAAAATATCTTACTTTTACATTTGTGGATCATCCACACTTTCATCGTCGGTGTTGTCCTCCATGTCGACAGTAGAGCAGTTGAGACAGTCTCCTTGGCAACCCGAACAATACGAGCGGCGGGGAATACCATCACGGCGGCAGCTACAGCCTGCGTTGCAGCCTTTAGTGCAGCCACAGCTCACAAGTTTTAGAAGTCTCTCCGGAGCGGGAGGCTGTTTAGAAGTAACTGGTACTAATCTGTTGATTTTTTTTCCCAACCGAATTTTGTAGGGTCCAATTTCCGGCCATACCAACTTTGAACCTGAAAAATAATAACGTTGTCTTTCACATTGAAATTTGTTTAAGTTGCAGGTCTATAGACTATATAAAATTTACAACCAACCTGGTGGTACACACGAAGGGTGTGTTCTCGGGCAGATGGTGATGTTGGAGGCAGGGTTTTTAATTTCATCTCCTTCTTGCTGTTTTTGTTGTTAACTTTTTTAACATAAAGGGCGTACCGTACGTCTTTCAGATTTTCGCGTTTTGCCCCATTGTACATATTTATGATAATCTTTTCACCAAGTTCTACAAGCCTTTTCTCATCTCCATTCGGTTGATGGAAAAGCATAACTTCTTGCAGCATTTCAGGGTTTTTTTCTAGGAGGCCGAGGAGCGACGATTTCCCTTTGCCGTAAAAGGCTGATGTTGTGTCGCCTCCCGAAAATGCATGTGTCAACAACATAGCTTCTCTGATGCCTAGAAGACTTTTCTGGACGTCTTTTATATTGAATACCTTTGATGCCTTGCCACCCACACCAGGCATTAGGAGGTGCACTTTGCTCCTGACTGGACATGTCTGGATAAGCATAGCAAAGATATCCGTGCCATTTGCTGACACTACAACTGTGGAGCCTGACGATGCTAGCCGCAATGCAGTTTCCACGACCAACTGATCAGCATCCCCTTCATCCTGGATAACTGTCATCCCAGCACTCTCAAAACTCGGCGTCATCATACGGATAAGTGAAGTTTTGTTTTCACCGTTTCCTAAGAAGTTGGCTTGCGCTGTACAGGTATATTGGTGGGGCTGCAGGTTCAAAATCTTGGGGGATGTTTTGCCGGCCGATCTCCGACGCTGCTCTTCGGCCTTTGTTGACATCTCTGCACCTTCGTATCCATCAAATACAATAGTGGCGTCTGACTTGTAACGTTTGACAGCATGGTCTCGGTACGCCAAACATACCTCCGAGTGCGTAGCTGGTCGGGGCCATACAATGGCGCGTAAAAGCATGCCACCGTCAACTACAAATTTAGCGCCATGAGGAACATCATCACCTGGGGGGCATTTTGCTGCAAGTGCTGCTTTCTCAGTTTTCCTCATAGAGACTTCGTCGAAAAGACTTGGGGGCCTTAGGGCCAGCTCGTACTCCAAAAAATCCACAA